TAAAAAAAAAAGAGAGGGAGAAAATTAGCTGGGTGTGGCGGTACATACCTATGGCCCTATCTACTCAGGAGGCTGAAGCAGGAGGATTACTTGAGCCCAGTAAATGAAGGCTGCAGGGAAGCACTGCAATTCAGTCTGGAAGACAGAGCAAGATCCTGTCTCAATATAAGAAGAAAAATTAAAAAGATTTAAAAAAAAAAAAGAAAGAAAAGGAGGAACCAACCAAGGAGACCAAAAAGAAAAAAAAATCAATAGAGTGTGCTCTATTCTATTGGTAGCCACATAAAGAACATGTGATAAGCAGAAGAGAAAGATTTGTGTCAAAGGCTGAAAAGATATTTTTTAAAATGGGACATGAATAATCTATCAAATTACAATTAGAGACCATTTCCAAAGTGCTGGGATTACAGGCGTGAGCCACCATGCCCTGCCCAAGATTTCTTTTAACCAAAAAAATTTGGGAGGGAAACTCACAGAAAAAAGAAGGATGGCATCACAGTAATTTCAGGGATTTTGTACACCCATAGATAGTCCCGTTAGAGCTTCACTCTGAGAATAACTCAAAATCACTACACACACAAATTCTTAGGAGAGAACTTTAGTCATATAGTGACTCTGAGGTTGGATTAAAAAGGGGCATCTCATATTACCACATGAAGTGGGGAAGGGGTGATTCTCCATAGGAAGAGTTAGGCTTCCCCTAAATAAAAAGGGAAAATAAAAGGTTTAGACAGGGCCGGGCGCGGTGACTCACGCCTGTAATCCCAGCACTTTGGGAGGCCGAGGTGGGTGGATCACGAGGTCAGGAGATCGAGACCATCCTGGCTAACACGGTGAAACTCCATCTCTACTAAAAATTAAAAATACAAATTAGTCCCAGGCGTGGTATCGGTGCCTGTAGTTCCCCAGCTACTCGGGAGGAGACTTGCAGGCAAGGAGATATGGGTGTGAACCCCAGGAGGCGGAGCTTTGCGTGGAGCCAAGATTCAGAGGCCACTAGCACACCAGCCTGGGCAACAGAGTGGACCTGTCTCCAAAAAAAAAGGAAGAAACACGGTTTAGACAACAGAATTTTCCTTATGACCCAGTGCCAAGTTCTTCTAAGTCCCAGTTTAAATTCCTGGAGGCTTTCAATTTCTGCCAGGTAGGAAGTTGGCCTTGTTAAATACAGTTGCCGAGGGAGACCTGCTTTAATCTGAAT